ATTTGTGACCAAATATTATCATCATTATCTGGTGGTAAAAAGTCTTTCTTTAATCTTTCTACAAGAGATTTCCAATCTGCGACATGTTGTTTAATACTTCTATACCAAATAAAAGCATTACCAGTAAAAAGTTCTACTGCAGAAGAAAATAAATCTTGTTCACTAACTTTACGTGATTCAGAAAGCTCAGTAACAGTTTCTAAAAATGAAAATAAATCTTGAGGATTACCATTAAATTTAATAGGCCAGTCTGACACTGGACAAGGTTTAGCAACATAAGTAACAATAGGAGGCGGTACATTAATAACTGGTCCTGAAGGAACAGAACTAACGTTTAAAGTTTCATTAATGTCTGAAGTTTTGACAAGCAGGTCAGCTTCAAGTTGATAACAACTAGTATAAACATCAGTTTGAATAGTTTCTGCATCAGCACGATTTTCATCTAAAATTATTCTCTTGATTCTACCAGCCAAATGCGCAAGACGAGATCTTATAACTTTGAACATTGAATCATTTACTCCACCCTCAAATTCAGAAATTGACAAGGAAATTGAATCTAAAGTTGCTTTAATTTCTGAAATTTCTTGATCAAAAGAAACAGGATAATCTTCCATATTAACTAAACAAAAAGGGTTATTTACTTCTCTACTTAAAAGACCTGACAAAATTTTACGTTTACTGTCAACATTTTTAGATGTTTTAATACCCCTAATAAGAAGTTCGTAATCTAATTCTACTTGTCGTAAATGATTAACTTTAAAAGATTCTTTCTCCATTGTAATTCAGCTATATGAAATACTAAAGACTAAATGATTCAGAAAAACTTACTAATTTTAACAAAAAGCTGTTATGATTCGGCGCAAACTATCAGAAAGAAAATATGTTCAATGTCAAAACCAAAAAAGATTCAAGTATTCGAAACAAATTCCAAAATTTTATGAAATACTAACAGTGCTACCCTGTATACTGAAATTATGTCCACTCTGTATATTCAAAATATAACCATACCTGTATATTTAAATCAAAATCGAAACGTCAATAAAAAATGTAGTCAGAAATACGTATTAAGTTATTTATCTGGGTTTTAAATAGATAAACAAACACCCTCAAGAATTTATAAAACAAAAAAATTGCTGTTGAACTGAAATTATTAGAATTTAATTACAGAAATAATGAAAATAAAATTTCAAAACTATAGTCTTTGCCTTATAGAAAATTTATCTGAGCCTAACAAAAATTATTTTACAAAGTCTACCAAATAAGTGAAGCAAATTAAATTAAATTGAGCCAATTAAACTAAGTCGAGCCAATTAAACCAAGTAAAGCCCCACGTGACAGGGCGTCATATTCTTTATTCTTCTATTTGTGTGACGACTTTTTCTGTCATCACTCAAACAGAAAGAAAAAGGTATCCGTTGCTCAGGGTTAGAGGAGAGCTGGGTTCGTAGGTAAGGCTTGTGACCTGTGGTGACTTAATAATGTTGTTAAATAATAAAATAAAAGTAATAATGTATAGGCTGCAAAGATTCTAAAATTGATGTTAAGTATTCAAATAGTAATGGTCAAAGACAGTAAAAAGGGCGCCACTTACTTTGGGTATGAAAAGGTAAAGTAAGAAACCAGTAAGAAAATTTGATCATGAAATAGCTAAAATAAAATAATCAACAGCAATAAGGGTCTATTATGTTCATCAAGAATAAAAGTCAGATATAACTATCCTACGTTGAACATTTATTTAAAGACGAACACAATTATCAATCAGTTTAAACCCAGTTTCAATTATCCCAATGAAATCGTTAGTTACTTTAAGTAAACTCAAATTTAGTTAGAGTTCTCTCCAGTATACTATACTACGTAATATATAAACAGGTGAAATTTATGTAAGTACCAATACGATGATGTTTCGAAACAAGTCGTGTACAATAACCTTCAAAAATGAATCCGTGTTAGCGATTCTCACATAAAAGATCATACTGAAGTAAAACGTACCGTTAAGGACAAAGCATGACTTATAATGTTAACTAAAAGGTAAATTTTGACTATAATATATGGAATAAATGACAACAATTTACAGAGATATTCAAAATATTGTCTCAAAGTAAAAAGAATTTAGGGAATACCTTGTGTGTTGAACTTAGAACTTATCTGTATTTTTTTTTATTTTCTGACGTAGTGAACAGGTAGGCTGGCAGTCTCCAGACTAACGGAAGTGGATGTAGACTCTTCGATAGTAGCAGGAGTCTTCGATATCAGTAGAATAAATGTAGAGTCATAAATACTGTCTCAAAAGTGGTTACTCATATGCCAATTACTTATACGTCAATTTCTTATACGCCAGTTACTCTATATAAAAAAAACTCTCAGAACAGTCACCGAATACCAAAAAAAATAACTTACGGTCTGAAAATCAGCTGTACACATTCCAAAATATAGCCAAACTATATGCTGATCCAAACCAGTAATGCACAATCAAACATTATCAAAATAAATAAAAACGGGAATAACTGAAATAAAATTTAGTTAGACATGGCGATACAAAATGGTAGATACACTTACTGTGATCTTATTCCAGGAAAAGGCCAAAAAAACACGAACTAGGCTCTGAACAGTATATTCTACAGGATTTCAAATCTCCACCTTTGGATACCCGTGCCTTTACTGTTAGGAAAAGTGTTTCAGAAAGCCCTTTTTCTCTGAGATTCGTCAGACGCTGAACCACGCGTCTTTTTCTGATCTCAATCTCTCGGAAAAAGCAACCTTCCTCCTTTTCGCAAAACGGAAGTCTTCGAATTGACAGGTCATATGACCAAAGGCAATTAAGTGAACTCTATCGTCTATACTGAATGAAATTTGTTTTTATGGAAAGGAACCGCTACCTGTACTGAATGAAGTTTAACATCTAGCGAATAATGGCGCCAGCAATATTAAAATTTGGAATTTTATAAAAAGAAAAATAAAACGCTACAACCCCTTATCTAGGCAAAATTTTGGAAAAATTATATTTTATTATTTTCCATAGCAGTTGCGCCCTCTAGCGGCTGTTCCACAAACTTGAAAATAATTTCCAGGAATTTCTCATACCCTTTTTAGTTATAAATATTTCTTTCGGTCCTACGGCTAATAGTTTCCGAGTTACAGCCGAAAGCTATTCTTAGTGGGACACCCTGTCCGTGCGTTGGGCATCTGTAGCTCCTAGAATAAAAAAACCTGGGAATTTTGATTAAGTGCAAACCGAGTGCAAACCTAAAATATGTACTGGGACGTATTTCAGGAAAATATTTTAACTTCTATAGGGTGGTTCAAAAAAGTGTGAGTGGATCGAGATGATTTTTTTTTAAATTATTTATTATTCTATATTTTATTGTGTTTTAGCTTCCTTTCAGATCACTTTATATAATCCTAAGTAATGAGTAAATATATTTCGATAGTGTCAGCGATATTAATAAATATATATTTTTCAGCTAAAAAGAACTATTAAAAATACAAGAACTGTCATGAAATCAAAACTATATTAGATATTTATTTTAGATGGTCTGTACTTTCTCTGTATATCTCTATAACATGTTAGTCGTAAAGCATACAGGTTGTTCAAAATTCTACGCCACTTTCTAAAATATAAAATAGTTTTTCTTCATTTTTTTTAAATAGAACAGTTACGGTTAACATATTATTTTTTCAATAGATGGAGAATCAAAGAATGAACATTTTTTGCATTTAAAGTATTTCAAGATTATGAACGGTTTCGCAGATTTCATATGGCACTTTCCACAGCAAATTTTTATCAGTGCCACGCAATGATTTCTTTTGTATTTTACCGTTGATGGAGCCATATGAAATAATACTACGTGTATCTGCGAAAAAAATATTTCCATCAAATTGGGTCAAAAATTGTCCATCTAATAAAAAGATAATATACAGGGTGTTCCGCTTAAAAAAACAAAGAAAGATTATCTTATATTTTATTAAGTTTGGCCTAGAATTTTAAACACCCTGCATTATTTAAGATTTCGATATTTATAGCAAGTATAGACAATCTACTATTTTTATTAAAATAAAAATAGTTTGGGTACCTAGGTCGACTCAGCCTTAAATGAGTACTTGGGATTCACATTCCTGAGGTAATAATAGGCGGTTGAAGCGTAGTGCTAGCCACACTACCTTCCTTGTATACCGAACGGCTCTAGTATTGCAAGCTGTACCTTGCTACTCCCAAGGCGTTAAACGCTATATACGGGAGCTATTATTATTATAGACAATCTAAATTAAATACCTAATATAGTTTTGATTTCAGAACAGCGTTCTTGTATTTGTAATAATTTTTTTAAGGAAGGTTGAAAAATGTATATCTTCTAGTTATTTATTAATATCTAATCTCTAAAGCTATCAAAATATGTTTACTCATATTTTAGGATTATTTAGTAGTTTAGTGATCAGAAAGGAAGCTAAAAATGCCATATAAGGGTGTAACATTTAAAAAAAAATCATCCCGATCCACTTACACTTTTTAAGCCCACTCTATAAAAAATACTTTAGGTTTGCACTTAAACAAAGTTCTCAAGTTTTGATTCTAAGAGCAAATTCCTGTACAATAAAAATTCCTTAAAATGACGAAATAGTCCACCAAAACCTCCCTTTTTGTATTTTTAAGCTTTAAAATAAAAAAAACTGCAAATCCTAAATCCAACAGAATTGAAATTTTCTCCCAATGCTAAATACTATTTTCTACAGGAATATGAGTTACTAACAGGCCATAAATAAGACAGCCTTGAGAGTCGCGCATTATTGATACCAATTATTATCGAAAAGTGATGCTGCACCTAATGCTTAATTTTGTTGACACTGGTTACACGCATAGGTTATATATTATTTATATGATCTCTACCACTTGCAAATTAAGCCCTGCTATGGCCCACTTATCTAGGCCTATTACCATACCGATTGATCTTATTAATATAATTAACTTTTTTCTTTGGTAAAAATTGAGTATTAATTTATTTCAGAGATCTGGGAAAATCAAGTAATATTGGAAAAGCCCTTATTGAAATAAACAATTTATCAGTAAATAAGCTGAACATGAAATATCCCCATCGATTTATTTGTGACCCTAAAAAATCGTATTTGGTATATGGTAAGTACTATTGATAAATATACGGTATTAAAAAATATTAAATGTTGAAATACTCGATCATCAAGAAGATTTTAACGTTTTACAGGCAGAGGCGGTTCCTCAATAAGAGTACATATGCATGTGAACCAACAAATTTAATGCCCCTTCTGTTCTCTTTATTCCAAACACGATTCGTCAAAGTATTGAAATTTATACACAACGAATTTGTACCGTATGATCGAATAAAAACGGCGTCAGCGATGGCTATGAAATGAAGATCGCTGTCATTTTATATGTAAATTTATATGGGAAATGTCATCGATCGTCATTTCCAAGCCAACTGGACGCCGTTTTTATTCGATCATACGGTATCTACAATATGATCGAAATAAAATGGCGTCAGCGATGACTATGAAATACAGATCGCTGTTATTTTACATATCTGTACCACATCTGTACCCTAGAAGCAAACTATGATGTTAAGTCCAAAATTAAGTTACTTAAGTTTTTATGTTCTACCCTTTGCTCTTTCTCGTTTAACGCTATCTGTAACGATAAATAAAAGAGTCGGTATTACAATCATAGGTTTAAAAATAACCGAATAATTAAGAAGTAACTTCAAAAAAGAACTTTAAATTCGTTTTTCTCTAAACTATTTTTGTGACTTACCTAATATAGTTTGCTTCTGGGGTACAGATAAGTAAAATTATATGGGGAATGTCATGGATCGTCATTTCTAAGCCAACTCGACGCCGCTTTTTTTTATCGTACGGTATTACTTTCTAAGCGAAACGGGTGCGTCTCAAAAGTGGCTCACTCCTATAACTTTTTTATTTTTTCAGATTACAGAACGAGATTTGGTATGTTAGTATATGACATAAATTAGGATTGATTGACGTATCCAACTGTTTTCGGTCACTCCCTGTTTCACCGGAAATAACTACGACTTTTGATTTTTAAATGACACTCTCGGTATTTTGTTACTTTATTCGATAAAAAATGACAGTCAGAATAGAATGACATATCATATGTCAACTTTTGACAGTTTCGAATATGGTTTATTTGAAATTGCACTATGCGGTTCATAACGACAATTTGACTCGCAATACCAAGTGTGTGATACCAAATTATTCGTAAAAATGCTTTTTTCAAATATGCTAATGAGCCACCTTCGTTGCATTTGAAAAAATTGAGATTATGATTAAAAATATGATTTGGGAATTTTTTAACCGGCCAGGACAAGACACTAAAAGCATTAACGATCAAATCTTTCCAAGGCTCCTTGATTAAAAATGAGTGTTTTTAACACAGCCATGAAACTCTAGATTGAAATTTAAAATACAATTTTGTTTTAAGAGAAAATGTCAAAAGTTGACATATGATATGTTATTCTATTCAGAGTGTCATTTTCTATCAAATAAAGTAAAAAATACCTAGAGTTCCATTTAAAAATCAAAAGTTGTAGTAACTTCCGGTGAAACAGGAAGTGGCCGAAAAGAATTGAATACGTCAATGAATCCGATATAATAAATATATATATATATATATATATATATATATATATATATATATATATATATATATATATATATATATATATATATATATTTCTGAAAGAAACCTGTCAACAGAGGATTGTACGAATAGAACAGGCTGGAAATTGGGTATCGGACAACGTAGAAAAACGTACTATTCGTACAATCCTCTGTTGACAGGTTTCTTTCACTCATCGCTTTGTGTAGGCTTTTTTGCCATTCCAGTTTTGGTCTTCCCTGTTTTCTTCTGCCCTTTGCTTGCCAATTGATTATTTTTTTGGGCCATCTAGTGTCCTTCATTCGCTCTACATGTCCGTACCAGATCAGCTGCTTTTTCTCTATATCCTGTGTTATCGTACCTTCTATACCCATTTGTTGTTTTATGGTATTATTTCTTATTCGTTGTTGTCTTGAAATTCCCATTGATCTTCGAATGACATCCATTTCTACGGCCTCTATCCCCTTCTTGTATCTCTCAGTTATTCTCCATGTTTCTGCTCCATACAGGAGGTTGCTCTTTATCATGGTTTCGTATATATTGAATTTTCTTCGCTTTGTTATTGATTTGCTCCATAAGATTCCATTTAGACATCCGATTATTTTTTTCGCGTTGATAATCCTTTTCTCTATTTCTCTGCCGTCAGGTCCAGTGTTATCAAATGTAATTCCCAGGTACTCATACTCTTTACACTGCTTAATTTCGTGACCGTTGTCCAAGTTCAAGTTTCCTTCTTGTGCGCCTATACATAGATATTTTGTTTTGGCTATGTTAACTGTCAAGCCCCATTCTCCGTATTCTTCAATAAGTTTTCTTAGCATATATTGCATATCGTCTTTGTCATTGGCAACTATTGTTTGATCGTCTGCGAATTGAAGTGTGAACAAACATTCATTGTCAATCTCTATGCCCATACCACGGATCTTTCTTTTCCAATTTTTTAAAGCGACTGCAACGTATATTTTAAAGAGAGTAGGGGAGATGCAACAACCTTGACGCAAGCCTTTGTCGGTTATAAATGTTTCTGTAAGCTCTTTTCCTACCTTTATTTTTGATTTTGCGTCCTTATACATATAGTTCCTTAAGAGCTGTTATATAAGTATGGTTGATCGTAGATTGTTCTAGTACCCTCCATAGTCTTGATATTGGGACAGTGTCGTACGCTTTCCGTAAGTCAACAAATGTTATATGTGTGTCCAAGTTTCTTGCCGATCTTTTTTCTATAACTTGTTTTAAACAGAACACGTTATCTGTACACGACCTTCCTGCTCTAAAACCATTCTGTTCTTCTTCCTCCTTTTCTCTATAATCTTCTTCTATGAGATCACGTAAAATTCTACCATATAACCTGCTCATTGTGCTCGTCACTGATATACCACGGTAGTTACTGCAGTCCAGCTTATTGCCTTTTTTATGGATCGAAGATATATAAGCCAGCTTCCAGTCTTCTGGAACGGGATGTCCGTTTAAGCAAATATTGAAAATTAATGCCAAGCTTCTAAATAGTTTCTGCGTACCATTTTTCAACATTTCGGAGTATATTCCTTCTGGGCTGCTTGCTTTGCCTGATTTTAAGTTCTTGGCAGCCATTCTTATTGTTTCTTCCGATATTTCAACTACTTCTCCCTGTACGTCGATGTTTCTTGGTGAATCAATTAAGTACTCTATAGCCTGGAGGAGCCTGCCTCTATAATGTTCGAACCATTGTTCAGGTTTAATTAAGTGTATATTAGCCTTGTTTTTTCCTGGGTTCTTAACATTTGAAATAAATTTCCATATTTCTGAGCATTTTCTTCCACCTATGTAGTTATTAATTTGCTCACACTTTATATCCCATGCTTTGTTCTTAGCTCTGTTAATATGTGTCCTTAGTCCCGGTATACCAATGCTATATACAGAATATGCCTAATGCGCAAATTCCATTCGTGGTTGTCGTTGTCACCTTTGGGTACTGCTCGTTGGGTACTGCTAATATATAAAATTCTATGCAAATATAATTGTTGTAGGAATAATGCATAGGTTCTGAATAAAAAATGCTGCTTAAAATTATTCCCATTACTTTCCCAATTATAAACCCTATTTATTGTCCGATATCACTAATTTGTATTTTGTTTTTGTTACTCAGGAGATTCAGCGGATAGTTGGATCGACATGACGGAATGGTTGGTTCTTAGAGGAGCAAAACGAATAGTTATTTCGACAAATACCAAAGTCCAACAAAACTATATAAACCGGAGATTGTCCTTGCTGGAATATAATTTCAACTGCGAATTAATTTTTGCACCAGCCAAAGCGGGTACTCGAGAAGGAGCAGCCGAACTTCTTTCTGAAGTTTATTATCTTGGCCCTATTCACTCTGTCTTTGTGCTACCAGTAAATAAAAACTCCGATGTGGGTTATTTTAACGCTGTGCAACATCTCGACAACGCCTTGAGGACAATTGCTCCCAAAGCAATATTTGTCAATTTTGTCATTGCAGCTGCCGGTACTACTCAAAGAAGGGCAGATGCAGGCTTCGCTACGTATAACGTACAGTGCCTAGAAGACTTGGAATTTAGTTATAGTTTGGAAAATTTGGACGATGTCATTTATTATAACGTAAAGAATGCATTCATTAACAATGCGCAATTGGATGATAGCAAACAAGAAAGCCAGCAGGCGTTGTATAAAAGTAAGTAAATTTTCTTATTACTAGTGGATTAAATTCCATAAAATATCTAAAGAATGTCAAATAACGTAGTTCATATACTGTGAGATTCTCAATAAAAACAAAGTAACCTAGGGTTGCCAACTTTCAAAATAAAAAATAGAAGACGAGAGGGCAAAAAGAGGCACAGGCGAAACATTTTTTTAAACCTCGCCCAATTATTCCAAAAAGTATTGTAAACAGTATGCGACAAAACTTTATTTTTCAAATCATAAGCTGAAGTAAACATAAAATCGTTAAACATGTTTATCGCTTCTACAGATATTTCTTGTATACAAATAATTCTTCATTTTCTTTTCTGTACAAACAAGTGGGAGTAGCAAAAGGCAGAGGATAGACAAATATTTTTTAGATTTTGACTTTGGTATGTAAAAAGAGGACTTTTTCAATACGCGACAGAAAAGAAGACAGTGATATAAAAAATAGGACTGTTCTGTGGATCTGGAATAGAGAATGGTTGGCAACCCTAAAGTAACCGTATATAAAAGTAGGAGAGCATGCGGGATTCTATGGCACCATTATAGATAATTATTCTGCTTGCTACGACTGCTACTACTCAAAAACCCGATTCCGTTCTTATACCAATGCATGGACATCGGTTTAAAATTTGACCATTATTGTTGATTGACAGAACTGGGAAGATACGCAACCTAATGGGCAAATTCGTGGCAAGGCTTATTTGATTTCCCCTTTCGTCTCAAGTGCTATACGGTACCTAGAGCCTCTACTCGTTCTGCGGTCAACATATAAAACAAACATTTTCTCTAATTCGGTTAGCGAATGCATATCGAAGACGGTATGGAACTGAAAGCGACAGTGTTGCCATAATAAAGTGTGTAATATCTGTAATACGTTTGACGAAAATATCTTTGGATGAAAAATCCGCGTTTCTGTATTGAAAATTTATTCGTGTTAATATAGATTAACATAGAATAAACAACAAAAATAAAAATTCTTTTATAGGTACTGAATGTTTCGTACAATCGAAAGAAGTCGTTTAGTTGGCTTGGAAATTACGACTATTGGCAATAATTACCCTAATATTTTACATATGAAATAATAGCAATCTTCCAAACCAACTCTGACGAAGTTTTTGTTTAAACATATAATATTATATTTAATTGTTTAATGATAGAAAATCTGTATTATTAACGTACTGTACCCGAAATCAGTAAATCTACGGATTAATCCGTGGTTTTGGGAACACTGTCTCCAGCAACCACCCACTCTGTCGACTGAAAACAGAACTACGGTACAGTATTCTTTATCTACTGCGCTGGAAACGACTATCAGCGTGCAGTTGCGCAGAGCTAAACTAAATATAGGACAGATTGACTAGCGGCGACATAGCACGAAATCGCCCATAAGGTTGCGCACCTTCTTATTTCTTCAATCAACGCTATTAGAGCTTATTTTCCAAAAAATATATCGTGCTTATGATGGCACTTTAAGAACCCATGTGCATACTTTATGTGTTTTATACTCCTTTTTATTTTTCTAGACGTGATATCAACTCTTACTAAAGTCAGTGGTAACTCCAGTTTCACACCCTTGTGAAATGAATTTACAAAAACCGCTTCTTACTGCTCAATTACCCCACTTAAGATATCTTTCTCACAAAATTTCATACTCCTAAGCCATAATTTAACAATTTTTATAGAATTTACTCTATTTTCTCTATAATGTTTTATCTAGAATAACTTCTTTGTGCAAAATTTTATACTATTAGATAAGATAGCAAGAATTTTTCAATAAAATTTTCCCTAATATCACCTAGCCTTTAGGGTTAAAAAATCGTTTACTACTTTTTTTCTTACTTTGACACTTCTCCACGAGATGATTTATTTGAAACAACATCTATTAACTAATTTTAATAATAACTAATGATACTGTATTTTTACAGAGTTAGCTCTATTATTACCAAACTCACCTGATATATTACACCAACAATTTGAAGACGCCCCCAAAGTACCTGAAATAGTACAAATAACCACAGAAGGGCCAATGGAAATCAGAGAGTTGGCGCCCCTATTTATCATTCCTGGATTGAATACAGAAGCAGAAATTGAAAAATTCGCAAGACAACTATTTGTACCAGCCTTCTGTGCGGTTTTACCATCAGATCCATATAATGTTAAAGATTTAGCTGAAATATTTACAGAGGTACCGTATGATCAAAAAAAACGGCGTCCAGTTGGCTGGGAAATGACGATCAATGACATTTCCCATATAAATTTACATATAAAATGACAGCGATCTTCATTTCATAGCCATCGTTGACGCCGTTTTTTCTCGATCATACGGTATATTATTTGTAGCGTAATATAGAACTTACTTAGTGAAAGAAAAACTAGTTACCAAACCAAACCACAGCTTATTCAATACCAGCCTGCTATCTGGTCTTCAAATGGTATTTTTATGTTGAAACTTGCGATTCTACTTAAAAACTAGCTACCACTCCAAAAGTCACTCCAAAACATGCCAAGTTGGGTTCCATTGCATAGCTGGGTACTGAATAACCTGTGCCTTAAACAATAATATACTTTTGAAATAGGATTAATTTATTTAGCATTATAGAATTGTTTATAACCTTGGTTTCCTTTTAAGCAAATATATAAAATTTGGCCAAGAACCTTCTTCAATATTGTTGGAGTATCTTGGGGAGGAGTTTTAGTAACCGAAATTGCTAGGATATTGGACAGACGTTATAAAGCTAATATATACGTTTATTACATTGACGGAGCACCATTTACTCTACAGTCCACAATTAAACTTTTAGGTTCTGGAGTTGATTTTGAAGTCAATTTATTGAGTAGAATTTTTAACAATGATGATCCACAAGTAAGTCTATTTGTATATTTTATTTAATACAAATAATACTAGCATATGTTTGTTGCATCAAAAAAAATATTAAGGAACATAGAATATTGCATTTGCAATATTTTTAGTTCAAAATTAATAAAGTATACTTCTAAAAAAAATCAGAATTATATTGCCTATATCAATAAACTTCAAAAATATACACAACTCTCCTTGCTTTGTTTAACCAAATTTTAATCCGCCAACAATCAAAACAAATGTATCATATAAGACATCTTGCTTACTTATAGCGTTGAGTGAAAGATTATCTATTTCAATTATCACTTTAAGCGGGCCTCACACGATCAGTATTATTGGCAGAATTGAATATTCTCAGTATTCCATCAGTATAAACCAACTACAACTCAGTATTCCATCAGTATTAACAAACTTCAAACCAAAACAAACCAACCAACCAACAGTATAGTTGTGGCCTTTGGCAGGTTAAACTGTGTGTACTGCGACAAGCTATTAGTTTTTATTAAAAAAAAGACAGTAATAAGCAAAAGGCGTGTATTGCCATTAGATTGTACTGTACAACTTGGAAACGCAAGAAAGAAAAAAATAAAGTTAAATTTACGAATATATAGTTCAGCGTCAAAAGTATACTCATTTAAATTACTTAAATTTTATTAAAGAAGTTTTATCTTAAATTTTAAAAAGTTAAAAGTAAAGCTTCGTTCAGAACCCCGCAATTAGTGGAATAAATTAGTGGTTTCAATTACACTTCATACTTTTTAGTGTACGATCATTCACAATATCTAAAAAACACAATTAAAATTAATAGAATATCCTAGCTATAGCTTGCGGTAGTTATTTGTATCTATAGTGAAAGCCTAATATTTGGCTTATAAAACAATAAACTTTTAATTTCTAATCACAATTTCTCTTGACGAAAGATAATCAAAGGCCAAAATGACATTCCTCGCAAATTTTGAAGTATGATTAGTGGAAAACTTAAAAGTTTGTTAACCTTTTCCACTAATTGAAGATTACTACCACTAATTTTGATGCTGTGAATGCTTACATTGATAGAGGAACAAGCTTCTACGATAATTGAAACCTGAAACCTTTTTTTGATTATTATATTTCAGTAATTTCGAGTCTGAACGAAGCTTAAAAGTTGATTCTCACTATACCTTCCGTATCAGCTACCTTCCGTTTCCCTTCCGTTTACATAAAATATATTATATCATGTAAATGAATAGGGCAATGCATACTATCTGTTCCGTTCCATATCCTTTCCTTCTATACATTTTGGCGGACGGATTGATGCGTATTGGAAACGTTGTCAAATTCTTACATTTGTACCAGCTCTGTTAACATTTTGCTGATATTTTTTTGTTATTTCACCTCTTAATAAATATATTACCTTTCCAAAAGGTTCAAATTTTTAAAATAAAACTTTCGTAATGATATAAATAGTACAATAAAAAGTATGGAACTGATACGGAACGGAAGCTTACGTATAGCGTCAATACAATAAAAAATACGGAACAGATATGGAATGGAACCGGAAGGTATAATGATAATCAACTTTAAAGCTTTATTCAGAACATCGCAATTAGTAGAATAAATTAGTGGTTTCAATTCCGCTTCACACTTTTTAGTTATGATCATTCGCAATATCTAAAAAACAAAATTAAAATTAAAATAATATCCTAGCAACAGCTCACAGTAATCAGTTGTATCCATAGAGAAATCCTAATATTTAGCTTATAAAACTTTGACTTATAAAACAATAAACTTTTGATTTCTAACCACATTTTCTCTTGACGGATGATATAATCAAAGACCTCAGACGAAAATTAAATTCTTCGCAACTTTTGAAGTATAATTAGTGGAAAACTTCAAAGTTTGTTAACGTTTTCCACTAATTTAAAATTCCTACCACTAATTTTACCACGTTATGAATGCTTACATTTAAATTAGAGGAACAATAAACTTTTACGCTAATTAAAACCACTAATTTATTCCACTAATTGCGAGGTTCTGAATGAAGCTCAACTATTTTCGATAATTTTCTTGATAGTAATTTGTGTTTGTCCGACAGATGAACCTATTAGCGACAGAACAGGTAATGACGTTTAATCCATGGTTGCATATGGAATACTGATGGTTTACCCACAAACGATCAATATTTTCATCAATATTTTGGCTCCGCCTAAAATACTTTCAGGAGAGTAAAAGTATATCACTCTGCTGACAGGCACATCAGTATTTCCCCTCACACGGTCAATATTACGGACAGTTTTTGGAAATACTGTCAATAATGCTGATCGTGTGAGGCTCGCTTTATAGGCTAATGTGATTACAAGAATAACTATACAAAAAAGTAAAAAATATCTGCTACTTGGTACAACAATAAATTCCAGCAAATTTATATTATTTAACAGTTTTGTAGCTGCAATTTTTAATATTACTGAAATGCCTATTTCTGTAAAAAGGCGGCATTTCAACAAGAACCTCGCAAAATGCATTCAATATTTTTTTAATTGTTTCTAAACTTCCTGTTTTTAAGGTGGTATCAAAACTTCAGTCGGCTCCTGATTGGGTATCGAGAGTGAACTATCTTATAAATATTTATAAAAACGATGCCATTGACAATAACATTCTTAAAGAGAGTATTTCGTTGCTGAGAAACAGGTTGATGGATGTTATAACTTATGGACCTGATGAACATTTAGTTACTGGTACTATTCATCTCATAAGATCAACAGATTGCAGTCAATTTGATAATTGTGAATTAACTTCGGTAAGTTATTGTGTTTTTATACAACTCTATTAGCTAAGAATCATTCAAAAGCGATTCCCGGGCTTTTACTGCAGAATGTAACAGAAAACGTGTTAAATAAGCTACATTATTTGTTTATACATATAAAAAATACTATATATAAAAAAATACTATATATATATAATATATATATATATATATATATATATATATATATATATATATATATATATATATATATATATATATATATATATATATATATAAAAAAAAAATGGATCCTGATATTGTTTGATCAATATAGTAATATGATCAATATAATAAACTATCGAAAATTAACTTTAAAATTCTTTAAAAAAAATTTATGATGAAGCGGGCCTGGAGTTTGACAATTAAAAAAATACTAAGGCAATTGCACATCCGAATTGTTTATCTCTCATCATGCATCATGAAAAGCACGTCCAGGTAGGTAATTCATATTCGACCCCATCCATCAGTGGGATCTCGAAAGTACTATAGGAATTACGAGGATGGTTAAATTAGGGTAAAGTTGTGCATTAATGTGTCAATAATATGCCGTTTAAAAAGATTTAAAATATCGAGTATTTCGGGAGATACTGAAGAAAAATCGAAAATTCAAGATTTCCATTTTATTTTTTTCTGATGTTACTTGACAAGGTATCCTAAAATTAAAAGCAGATTTTCATTGCCACTTTTTTCGGCTGTACAACACTAATTCACCACAATACACACAAAACACTTTACTTTTAACATTGCTATCTAAACCTGTAATGCACAACAGTGTTTTCAGATTTGTTATCCGGCGTTTCGTCTTTTGACAACCATCATCAACTTTATAATTTAATAAAGGTGCCTTATTAGATTTTTACATATAGATTACATTATTGCGATTTTAACGACGTACAAGTTATGTATAGTGGCGTTTAAATGTCAATAATTTATAAAAATTGTTTTTTCAATAGGCGGCTTTAGTTTTTAGATTAGAAAACCGCAATATGTTAAAACTTATTACAAATTTGACAGAGATAACACAAGAACATCAAAAATATATTTACAAACGTATCCGGAAATATAACAAGACAGAATACCATTTGAAAAGCTGTATAGTAAAGTGACTGAACATATAGTATAGTTTTGCGCCTTTTAAAAACCAACTAAGATGACATGAAAGCCATGGAAGACATGGAGACTAGAACAGACATAATAGTAGACAATCCTTTAATTTACGCTAAAATTATAGTAAGGTCAGTAAACTGATCGCCGTTAGTACATTTAAAAGTTACTATGCATAACTTGTTGTACATCGCTGGAATCGCAATGAATTTATCTCTTTATATTGTGTAATGTGTATTGTGTAATCTAATATGGCGCTTGTAAGAAAACATAAAGTTGATGATGTTGGTGAAAAGACGAAACATCGGATGACAAATCTGTAAACACTGTTGTGTAACAAGTAATAAGTGTCAATGGAGATGTGCTTTTCATTTTAGGATACCTTGTCCAATAACATCAGAAAAACAATATCATTAATTTTCGGATTTTCTGGAATATTTTTGGAACTAGGTACTCGGTTTTTAAATGATTCTAATCGGCATAGAATTAACCATTCTCGTATCTCCTATATTGGGGGACGAATAGGAATCACCTAATGAAGTATTTGCAAGTTACCATATCCGAACCCCCCACTCACTATGACAATTTTAATTTAATTCTATTACTGAATTAGTAATACTTGTCAGAAAAAAAATCTTACACACGTAGCGGGAAAACTAAACTACTCATGAAGTTGATATGTTAGAATCCATTTTAAATTTTAAATTTATCGATTAACTAGTTTTCTTATTTTCATTTTCAGTACTGCAAACAGACACCCCAAGTTCTCCTAGTTCCAGGTGACCATCTTACTATAATAAGTAGGCGAGAAACTGCAGATTATATAAACGAAACCTTTCAGTTAAGATGAGATTATTAAGTAATGATTTGGGGAAAATAAAAGAGTATATGTCTTAATATCAAAGCGTTTCATTTGAATTAAGTGTTTTGAAATAAAGTATTAATTATGCAAAGCAGAGAAAACTATACTACCAATATACAGGGTGGCCCATTGAAAACGTTCTGCAAGGCATAACGGCCAGGATATTTTTTTTCTCAAAAAATCCAAAAACACGTCAATTTTGTTTGTGAGGGGGACAACTTTTGCCCCAGAAATGAAGTGAGCAACAGTCAAATTCAATTAACCGTTTGACATTAAACTAAATAATAAAATATCATTTAATTTCATTAGTCGCAGGCAAAATATAGTAATACCTACTATATTGTGATAGTAATTCGTTTTGCAAAAACATATATAGCCTTGGTGCATTCTCCGCTAGTGCTGCCACCATCGTAGAATCCCGCAAACAACCGAGTTATAATACAACCCAGCAAAAAACACGAAACACATAGATACCAAATACACGAAAAATTTGTTATAATATTATTTGAAAGGTATTAAGCGGGCCTCACACGATCAGTATTCTTGACAGTATTGGATATTGTTAGTATCCCAAAATACAATATGTAAATTGTAAATCTTGAAGATGTTGCCGGGAAGAGCACAATGGAAGTCACCCGTTACCTTAATGCCATCGAATGGTTATAAACAGTTAACAGTCCAACTTTTCCATCCCTAGGGATAGGGTCTCAGAGTGAGTGGTATCAAAACTGCAATTTTGCTAATTGTCGCACTCGCCACAACCAACCAACCAACTATCCCAAAATGACTTCAGAATTGCCAAAGTATATCAGTCTACTGACAGTCCCATCAGTATTTTTGCCTTCACACGGTCAATATTACTGGCAGTTTTTGAAAATACTGTCAATAATACTGATGGAAAAATTCTATAAAAAATAATCAAAAAAAATCCATATCTTCAGAAGTTCTAACGTTGAATAACAAATTACAATAATTTATTATTCAAGCTAATAAAACTTTTTAGATGAGTAATAATACGCCGCACAGAGGTCCAAAAAGGGCCACAAAAATTATTTTGCTTGTAAATATTATTCAATATGTGTTAAAATTACAAAATCAATACAAAATATGAAAAAATGAACAATTATTAGCCCATAGGAAATGGTTTTTGACCTGAATCTGCGAAAATATGATTTTTTATGTACTGTCTATTTAATCTTTTGACTATAATAGGAACTTAGTTTACTAAATTGTTTCGTCGAACTGCGAATCCACTGTGGCTGCAGGAAATGTAGAACGACGCCGACGGATCGGCGTATCGATCTCGAGCTCCAGCAATTCTATTGGCAGAAATTTTTGACAGCTGAATTTTTGAAAAATTTTAGCCAATAGTTCTGCTTTGCCTACGATGGTGTAGATGCACTCTGAATCCATTTTTGTTTTTGATAAAATCGAAGTGATAAAGGTAGGGATAAAATGTTGTTCGGGGAGAGTTGTATTGCGTGTATTGCGTGTTGTATTGCACCCAACAACCACACAATTACACCCTTCTCTTAGTGTTAACATTTTTTGAACACGAAATCCAGTTTGGGTTCTTTTTCGCTTAATATTTACTATGCAAAACAGTATCACTAGTAAAAACTAAAATACTTAAATATTATGACATAGCCACGATTTCAATAACATGAACGGTACCGGGACAGTGTGAAATAAAGTGGCCGAACAGTTCTGATTTTTGCCGTAACGAGCGCTACTGTCGGAATTTTAGAAAATCGGTTGAATGCGCACCAAGCCTATTACTCGTTAGTGTATGCGGATCCTGTGCAATTTTTTATCCGTAATTAATATTCTTTTACAACACTCATTATGTGACATTCTATTATTAGCACAGCCCATTCATTAGACAGCAAGTCAACTTCGCTAGTTTTTGAGTATCCCCACTTCAATTGCCGCGCATGTTCTTGTATTCATATGCAAGTAGAGTCTCGATAGTTTTTATAAACGGTGCTTCAATGGAGCTCATAATCCGACAGAGTTCCATGTAAACGACTAAAGGTCGACTGACTTTCTAGTGAACAGGCTGTGCTATTAGCTACAATAATTAAACTTACGATTCAAAATCAGATAAAAACACTGGATTTGTAACATGAGGAGTAAAGATTTTATTACAGGAAAGAGTGGAAATTATGTGTTTATTACGGGCTCAGTGAGATAATTACACCAACACTAAAGTCATGATTGTTGATGGTAAAAATAACAATAGTAAAAATAAAATATTAGCAGATATAACATATATTAGTCGCTGTAAAATATTAAACTGATGTCTTTACCTAAGAGCCAATGAAAATAGTTTGAGACATTGTATTGTGAGGATGAAATTCGGTGCAGAATTCAACTAGCACTAACAGCTGGTGATGTATCTTACTAACATATGGAAAAATTGACATAGAGCCACCAAAAAAAGACACATAGAAACACTAAAATAAAAATTATAGATAATAATAGAATTTAATACATTATACAGGGTGCTCCGAATTGTATTTGGGAAACTTCGGCAGCATATTCTGCAGATAAAAATAAGTAAAAAAATTCGTATAAATGTATGTCCTAAAATGCTTAGTTTGGGATATATTTTTACTCAGTATATTTTTTACCATGGTACAAAGAATACAAGGTATGATCGATAGCGGCTCCAATTTCGTTCAGTTCGCGCATACCACCTGTGACGTCACTAGGAAAATAATGAATAAATAAAAAATAAAGAAAGTTGACAGGAGATCTGCATTTTTGAGGTTATGGTTAAGAATGTTTATTTTTAAGACTTTTTAGTTCGTTTAATTTAATAATTACTAAAACCAGCAGTTCCAAAAATATATTTAAAAATAATAATTATCTATTAACATGGATTTGGACGATAATAGGTAAAATTACTAAATTTATTTCTATATTCGGTATAAAATTGTTTATTAGGTTTTTAGTTTGCGATGTTTATGGTAAATAATTTTCATTTTCATTGCCTCTGAATTCACATGAGGACAGAGTTGAGGATATCTATGGAAAAGTAACCACAAGAGGAATTGTTACATCATTTAAAAAATGTTGGGAAGTTTATTGTTTCCCATCGAAAAGTAGAAAATGCCAATGCAGATGAACGTATTGTAATTGTGATAGAAGTAATTCTAAGGGTGAAGTTTATTATAATTAGTGGAAGTAATACCAAGGGTGAAGTTTATTATAATTAGTGACCTGTGCTTCTTTTTATATGTAGATGTTTCTGGTTTTGAGAATAAATCGGTTGAACGACACCCAAAATTTAAAGGAAGTATTTGCATACCCAGAATATGCCCATCAAGGATTATATAGCTCAAATTTCCTTTAATGGTAGGCAATTATTCAATGCAAATTAACTTTTTAAGTGACTGAAATATTAAATAGTTTACAATATGGTATATCACTAAAAATATATTACTTTTAGGTACAATTAGGGCCCGATACATTTCAAAAAGTAGAATATTATTTTATATTAAATGAGGTATTGTACTAACAATCAATTTATATTAATAACGGAGATTAAAAAATAACAGAATAAATAGTTCTTTTTTTTATACTACAAAAATAAACTATAGAATACCTACAGCAGTATTTAAAAAAATAAATAAAAAGTTATGTTCCGGCCGAGATTCGAACTCCGGTCTCTCGCTTCCTAGCCCGACTCCTTATGCACTGCTCCACAGTCACTTGCTTAGCGATAATTCAATAACGGTATATAAACAAAAAGAACAGGTTTATAACAATATCTTGACTATTTGAACTGGCGCGCGGAGCGTGCTGACCAATAGCGCCTGTTATCACCTGTGACGTAGCGACCAACCTGCGCAATATCATACCTTGTATTCTTTGTACCATGATTTTTTACTCAGTACAATTTTTACACGTGCAACAAATTTAAATAACTGGTAAAATACGAAAAAAAGCGTAATCGAGGAGGAACTTGAATAAATAGTAACTAAATGACATTAAGATGAAACCAAAGCCTACTTTCCGGGCAGCATGTTTGGAATTCGCCGACACTAGTTCGGGTGCTGCGTAAAGTACCGACGTATTAGACTAATACGTCGGCGATTTACGATGCGCTCAAAATATTGTTACTTTCTTCGCAAGTTTGTAAATCGGATTAATTTGATTTGCGTCTGTAATGGGTATTCGTAATTTTTTATGATCAATCAGTAATCGTCTGTATTGGTTTTCATTGTTTTCCAGTAATTAGCACATTTCGAGCAGATTGCTAATTCAAAAACATGGATTTTCAGACATTACCGGCTGTACCTGATAAATAAATAGTCTCGAATAAACTGAGGTTGCAGATTACTGATCGAAACAGATTTTAGATTGTAGATGCTGCTTTTTGCAGAGAAATTAAAAAATAACAGTAATGTTATTAATGTATCATTAATATAAAATAAATAGTAATAGCACAGCTTTTGTTTATACTGCGCTAAAGTCTTATGCGCTTTCATGTGAATGCTAGAGTTACCATACGATTGAAAAAAATGGCGTCAGAGCTGGCATGGAAATAAAGATAGCTGTCATTTTTTATGTAAAATTTTATAAGGAATGTCAATGATCGTCGTTTCCAAACCAACTAGACGCTGTTTTTTTTCGATCATACGGTACTTGCGATAAGTCTTAAAACTTAACTTACTCTTTATTAAGGCTCAAATCATTCTATTATCGGCATGGAAGCTTAAAACTGCTTACCGAGTAAATTTTAGTTTATTTTTATTTTATTGTAGAGTGGATAACTGCTTTGGTAAATGTTAGAAGAGAAATTTTTGAAAGAGTTTCAAAAATATTTTAAAATTGGCTCTGAGACTACGTCTAAATAAGCATTTAGGAGATTTTATCACTACCATTTTGATGGCAAACAAAAGAAAAATAGGGAAGCGAGCCGCAAAAGAACTTCCTCGAAATATAGACTGTCCAGTAAAATTATTAGTAACTATCAAACAATTTCTTCCAGACACAAAATTAAAAAAAAATATGGGATTAGGAGGTAGTAAGTCCAAAAAATAAAAATATGTCTTAATTTTTTTCTATTCATATATTTTTTTGCTAATATGTTTTTCTTAGAATTAAGTTGTTTAGTATTTTCTATAAACAGAGTACCTAATCCACCATCATTTCGCCATTAATATTTATCTAACTGAAAGTATTTTTTTAAGTTAATAAAATTTTAGTTAGAATTTTATACTAAAAATGACAAATTGAAAATTGCTTCATAAAATTTTTGAAAATCATATTGCTTATTTTAAATGGAATACACCGTAAAGTTTAATTTTAGTATTAAAGATAATTTCTGTTCAAGTCTGTTTTGTATAATTTTCTAACAGTTCTCGCGATTTACCATAACCTATACTGTAATGCAATATGCAGACAACAGTATTTCGTTTTTGTAAATCACCGACGCATAAGGGTTGGAACTAGTCTAATACGTCGGTACTTTAGCAACCGCCCGTCGCTGTACCCGACCTAATCCGAGCGGCTAATGTGTCGGCGAATTACGAATATGCTGCCCATACGAAATTGGGACGATTTTTGTGAAAAGTAATATGGCGGCACGAAATTCGTAGGAAGTTAAAGAATAATTATTGATTATCCGAATTTGGGACGTTTTAACTGACAACTACCGACATACAATTAATAAAATTCGTAAAAAAATATGTGGATACCGCGGTGGATACATAAAAATGTTAAACATGATTTAAAATTTTTGATCTATTTTTTTCTCAGAAAAAGCCTGAAATTCGGATGTGTAAAAATTCAAATATAATAATTCATTTTTAAATATTTTAATATTTTGACGTAACCTACATAATTTTTTGTTTTCTAGCCTACATACTCTAATCTTTAGGCCATTACAGACCTAGGCGGCAGTGTCGCATGATTAATCTCTTAATATCTGTACGGTAGAGAAAAGATAGAAAGTTGCGGCAGAGTAAGTAAACCGCCGAGTAGCGACAGTTCCGCTTTCAATTTTCTTTGCGGCTGCGCGAAATAAGTAGTCTATCTGACATATGAAGAAGCAAAGTTGCCACTGTTGACACTATATACTTTATTTCAAGTATGCCTCAGGCAACAAATCATTTTTTTAATTATTTATTAGCTGTAAGATATTTTATACATTCAAATTTAGAAATAAGGATAAAACAAAACAAAAAAAATATGTATAAAACTTTATAATTATTGATAATTAATTCCACTTCAAATTATGAGCTACACTGCTCATAATTTGTTTATAGGACCACTGCCCATGTTTATAGGACCACTTCATAAGTTGAGCAGTTAAATACGTAGTCTATCTGTCAAACACGTCAAAAGAGAGAGAAAGAAAATTTGGTCCCACCCAAATAAGTTTGAGTTAAATAAGTTAAGTAATTTAAACGTATTTGGTCCCACTACATCAAAAGAGCCGACGGTTTCGGTCACTACTCGGCGATCTACTTACTCTGGTTGCGGTTTGTGCTGACTTTTTGGAAACTTTATTCTCTATAACTGTACAAAAATAAATATAGCCCGCTATTTATTTTTTTATGAAAACGCACAATATCTATTATGATGCCAAACACCGCACTCTAGCTTTCACGGCAAAATATTTAGAAACAAAGTTTATATAGTTGATTATTAAGAATAAAAAGCTCTTGTAAACGAGCTTTAATTTGTTTAATTCGGTTAAACCGCAGGTATGTAACCAGAAACCAGAGTTATCCTTATCTTAATAAAAGCAGGTTTAACCTACCCCAACCCTTTTATTTTACGAGATAAACCAAATATATTATATAAAAAAATTACAAATGTTCTATTAATTACATTAGCAATATTTAAAATACTTCTTCACCTGCATATTTTTGAAAAAAAAATCCGTTTTCTGATGAGCCCCTATCAGGCATTTTTTGAACTTGAAAATAATTTTCAGCTATTTCTCTTGGCCGACTTATTAGAATTTTTTTTCCCAGTTATACGATAAGTAGTTTATTCTGACATACAGCCGACGTCCATTCTTAGTAGGTCCCCCAATACTCTGTAGTATTTTCCGTTTTTTTTTTCGTTCTCTTGTTGGATTGGATTTACATAAGTTTGTGATTCGTGCACAGAATAGTTTTGAAAAATGAAATAAATAAGAAATAGGAAGTCCGAGAAGTTTTATTTGGCGATTAAGCAAACAAAAGGATGATTACTAAATTGAAGACATCTAATATTTTAAATATATTAAAATTTATTACCACAATCCCTAACCTCTTAAAGGTTACAAATGGTGTATTTTCGTCAAAAACAATATGATCAAAAAGTTTTATGATCAAGCGAGCATTATATTATGATAGATCAATATTTTTTATGGAAATTAAAACAGATTTTTTTATGTCAAAGTTAAAGCCCGTTTGATTATAAAATATTTTGATCGCACGGTAGTTTCTTTAAGGCTCAACCATTGAAAATAATCACTTAATAAAATAGTATGTGAGCTTATCTAATAGAATTTCATATATTGTATATACCGCCTAACAAAATAGTTATATAAAACATAAAGCGACATTTAATTGCTTTTTATCGACGAAATTTGTATGCCCTATTAAAAACAATTGAGCATAATTTCCGTTTTTTTCGAGAAGTAATGCTAACTAATACCGTACGACCAAAAAAGTCTATGATTAAATTGGATTTGAATTTGACAGTTGTTTATCTATCATACAAAGCATGCTCGATTGTACGACTATTTGATCAAATTGCACACGTCTAATTTCCTAAATTCTTAGAAATATGTTTAAAGTAATGGTTTTGTTCTAATACATATTGTTGAAACATAAGTTTCCACAATAAGAAATTTGGAATTAAAGCACTCTAAGCTAATATTCAAAAAAACAATCCTAACTTCAAATCCATCATTTGAAAAAAAAAAATTAAGTGCACTGTATATACAGAGTGTCCCAGAAATAAGTACAGATATTTTTCTGACTGGTAGTATATTTCGACCCCAGAAACACGCCTACGAGGTTTCTTTTGCAAACATTTTTTTTAAATTTGGAATTTCTTGAAAAAATTTTGGAATTTTTTTTAGTTAAAAATCATTATTTTTTGATAATATGACTAGATACATAGGTAGTAGATTAAATTTACAAGAAAGAAAACCCAGAAAAGATCTAGTGGTTCTCAAAATATAAGCAAAAATATTTTTTTTTGAAAATTTTTAAAGTAAAATAACTAGTTATTTTGAACTTATTTGAAAAACAGTAAAGAGAAAATATATGTTCTTTTATCGAGATCCCTTAAAATATTTGTACTTATTTATGGGACACCCTGTATATGTAAAAACATACAAGATACAAGGTACTATTTAAAAGTATCGTCCTAGTGCTACTTCCGCAGAAAAAGGAAGTGATATCAATTGATTTAAACACAGAAATGTTAAAAAACTAACACATTTTAAAAGAAGCTTTAAATTTATTACATAATTAATCACATTAGAAGTAACTGAACGGCGGCTATGGTTTGAATAAAGATTTTGTTGTTACCCGGTTTGTTACCAATTACACTAAACTTAAGTTTTTGGACTTCCTGATCTACTTCTTGAGGCTGATTTAGATCGCGACCTTGATCTTGACTTACTCCTGGAATGAGACTTAGATCGCGATCTGGATTTTGATTTTGATCTCGATCTCGAATGAGATTTACGCGTGCCAGATTTTGATCTCGATCGGGAACGGGATTTTGATCTTGAACCCGATCTGGATCGCGATCGAGATTTTGATCTGGATTTTGAACGAGAACCCGATTTCGATCTTGATCTCGATTTGGAGCGGGATTTTGATCGGGAACCAGATTTTGATCTAGATCTCGATTTAGAGCGGGATTTTGATCGAGAACCAGATTTTGATCTTGATCTCGATTTGGAGCGGGATTTTGATCGGGATCCAGATTTTGATCTTGATCTCGATTTGGAACGGGATTTTGATCGGGAACCAGATCTTGATCTGGAACTGGATCTGGAACTTGAACGAGATCCGGATTTGGATCTTGATCGACTTTTGGATCGTGATCTGAAAAAATAAATATGAAGTTTACAAAACACCAATACAATCTTTACGTAATACAGGATGTCAAAAAATAATGTATCTAATTTTAGTGGGTCGTTCTACAGATAAAAATAAAACAAAAAGTTCCTATGAACATATGCCCTTAAATGCTTCCTGAAGAAGTTACAGCCGTCGAATGGTTAAATAAAAATAATATATTTGTTTATTTTTAAGGACATTGGTAAACTGTATTGGTACTGTATCTATAAGGATAAAAGAAGTACCACCAGTAGTACTCTGTACCCTAATTCCGTATTCGAAAGTACCCTTTCAGGGCTATTACGGAATTTTACACCATAGCCATTCGCTTTGGCGATAGAAAACGTGTGTAAGAGTACCAAATATCAAGAAAAACGGTTACATGTAAATATGTATGAACAGTCCACAGACTTCGAGACATAGGAAAATCAAATAAGTGGATTTATCAGAACAAGTCGAATGAAGAAATAAAAACGGGATTCAGAGAAGCTTTCGATTTAGACTCCTTTTTTCTTCAGAATAGACTGGTGCCTTCAAAAGCCTCCATTCACAGGATAAAAGAAAATTTTGAAAAATATAGCTGCGTTACTCCCCACATGCATAAGAAACTAAAAATTGAAGAAAATTCTCGTGAGGAAACAGAAGCTTAATATGCGCTGCAGTTGAGGAAAATCCAAATAGAAGCTGTGTACAAGTTGCTGAAGCAGTAAATTCAAGTACAACAACAGTTAAAAGGGTCCTCAAAAAACATGGTTATCGTTCAAGAAAAGCCAGAAAGGTTCATGAAATTTTCCCCGACGATCAATTTCGCCGTATAGAGTTTTGCGAAATAATGATGGAAAAGGTAAATCTTGACGAAAATTTTCTTAGTAGAATTGTTTTTACTGATGAGTCGTCCTTTTTCTTATTAAATCGGCAAAACTCCACGCAAGTGCGATATTGGTCAAAAGAAAATTTGCATAGGTTTTATAATGTGCGAACCCAATATCCACAAAAACTAAATGTTTGGACGGGTATTGTAGGGGAACACGTTATTGAACCATTTTTTATTGAGGGCAATTTAAATACTGCGAAATATTTGGATTTATTGCAACAGCAAATTCTACCGGCGATTTGACGATTATTTGGCGAGAGATTTGGTGATATTTGGTGGCAACAAGATGGATGTCCAGCACACAATGGTCGTATTGTGCAAGAATATTTAAACAATACTTTTGGCAATAGACTAATTAGTGGGCATGGAACCATCTTGTGGCCGCCAAGGTCACCTGACCTCTAGGTGAATGATTTCTTTTTATGGGGGTACATAAAATCTAAAATTTACGGACATGAAGAAATTCAAAGCGTGGAGCAGTTAAGAGAGAAAATATTTAATGCCTTTGATACTGTCACCTCTGATATGTTATCCAATGTGAGGAGGGGATTTTATGATCGTTTGGGTTATTGTTTAATGCAAGAGGGAGGCATTTTTGAACAATTTTTGTAATTTTTTAAATTTCATTATCCTGTTTTTTTTACCGTTTACCCATTACCTACCTTGACGAACATGGGAAAACAAAGGTCCTTTTCAGGACCACAAATATTTTGATTGAGAAATTTGTTACTTTTATTTTTTTTGGATTAAAAAAACAAAAGTTGTTAATATAATACCAATTTAAAAGTGTTTTAGTAGTTTTAATACACACTATGATATAAAATTTATTATTATTATAATGTATGTACATTATTAATACTATTATTCATTTGAAATGGCATTAAGGCCCAATTGCACCAATTATTTAAAATTTTTCTTAAAGATAAGGAGAACTTAGACTGAGCTGTATTTATATTTACTTTAATATTCACCTTAAATGAGCGGAAATTTGGCTGATACAATTTTTGAATTTGAATTGTTTTTAATGATACTAACAATTTTAGTTCAATTTTTAATAAAATTTATTTAATATTAATAGAAATCCAATAGATCTGAAACCTCTTTTAGCGATTTATAACATTCTGAAATGAATTACAGGTGCCCTTATTTTCTATGAAAACCACACAGCTTTTTTCATAGTCGCTGCAGTTGCTATAAAAAACATAAATAAATGAATAGAGACACTCTTTATTCTCTTAGTTTCATAGTTTCATAGTCATTACGTTTTTAAAGAAAAAGTCACCGTTATAACTCGACTTAAGCTAAGAAGATCTTCAATATCGCGGTGCAATTGGCCATACATTAATGTCAAAACTAATTCTTTAAGGTGTGAAAATTGCAACACACGCTAAATGGACTTGATTTTTCCTATGTCTCGAAGTCTGTGGACCTTTCTGTATATCAACCAATGTTCTCAAAAATAAACAAATTATTTTATTTTTATTTAACCTTTCGAGAGCTGTAATTGGCATACTGTATCTTTTAGTATACTGTGTTTAATTACGGTAAGAGTTTGACAGACGATGATATGAAAGAAGGCAGACGACGTCCATACCAATCCATTTATTTTACTAAAAAAAAGTTTCTAATATGTTTTAAGTTAACTATAGTTGGATTTATATATAAATCCCTCAAGCGTTGTCTCTTCTTATTTTTAACCAGTTTTATTGGTTTATTTCAATATTATTGGAGTGACGGAATGATGAACGATGCACATGCTCACATGCGTATAAACTCGACTTTAGATTTTCGAGGCTTGTCAAACTCTTGCCAAATTATAGATTATAATTTGTGTCAAATTATGTCAAATATTTGCGAATTGCTTTACGATTGCTGTTGCATTTTGGTTCGTGTTATTTGGAGGAAAAATCGAGGGAAAATTAACTGTTGAGTCAGAGCACAGTTTATAGTTAATATATGGTGCCCAGTGAAGTTTGAAAGAAAGGAATAGTTCTTTTTAATATTTTTTTGGTATGTAGTGTTTTCTTTAATACACCCTTGTTTGTTTTGTTCTAATACAGAGCATAATTAAAAAAAATGACATGATTATATTTTTTCAGTTTTATATAGTTCTTTTCAATATTTTGAAGTAATCATTTGTCACTCAAATTTTAATATATTAATTTCATACTATGCGTTTCAATTGTGCCAACTTATTTGTTTATAAAATTAAATAAACTATTTTGAAATTAAAATTACAGTTTCAAATATATTCACACTAAAATTAAGCCACTGGACCTTTGCACAATAATTTTGTTGTTACTCAGTATATGACTAATGCCCGTCCAACAAGATATGACAGTGACAGTAGTCGACTCCATTTTAGTTTGTGTCATTTCTTGGTTGTCAATGGATAGACTTTACAAATGTAGTAATATTATATTATCACTTACTTGGATTTTCCGCTTCTACTAGATGACCTTGACCGTGATCTATTTTTGGACCTAGACCTTGATCTGGAGCTTCGATCGGAACCGGATGAAATTCTTCGCTTCTTATTGGTTTTTCCGCCATCACTCTCATCGCTGCTGCCAATTTTAAGCCGTTTTTCTATAAATAAAATTACATTATGCTACGTCAAATAGATCTTAATGGAGTCCTTCCCCAAATAATGTGCAGTAAAAATTATAACTTACACCCCTTGAAACGTTAAGCGTTAAGTGTTTTTGTTGATTAAATATAGGTTTGAGTGGTGACTGAGAAATTTATGTTCATGGATTCTTAAGTCAATAAAATTTTACTATAAATTTCTCCATTCCTCTAACTTAATATTTTTTTATTAAGAATGCAATTATTATTCATCCATTTTTTAAAAGACAAAAAATTTAAAATTTATTAAGATATTTTGAACTATGTATATGCAAAATATTTCTTGTTATATAACATTTAAAAAAGTAATGGAAATAGAATTGTTCAAATAATTAAAATATTTTCTATAATTCAACTCGGTTTTTCCGCATACCAACTTATCTTTATTTCAAACACAAAAATACCAATTTTGATTTCGACGTTTAGAATGACGAGTCGTGTTTTACTATGTTAAGAAAAGTAATTTACATGTTATTTAGACAATATTTTACACTTACCAGTATCACTATCATCTTCACTGGTAGAAATAGTGGCCTTTGAAACAATCCGCATTTTTTGTTTAGCGGTGAGACCCTCGTCCCGATTTTTCTTCTTTTCCGGTTTCTTCTTCCTTTTCGTCTTGGGTCTATCCCCACTCCCATCAGAATCGCTGCCTTTCTTTCTTCCACCTATACAAATGATAAAATTAGAGCTGCAACATAAAAATACTACATATTTTTTAGTTTAAGCTTTAACATTTTGATTTCTGAATAAGTTTTTTAATCAAATAGGCTATGAGATTTAGATAAAACCTATTACACCAACTGTTTCCGTTTCTCTTTCTGGCGGATAGAATCTGTATATCGCTCCTCTGAGAATCCCAACAGATGTAATTGGATATTGAGTTTGCAATGTGTTAGTAAACCTACTACTCTACTGTCTTTGCCAATCAGGTCTACCGTAAATTTTAGTGTATTCTAATATCAACCGTTTTGCCTGTCTGGTCAATCAGTCCTGGCAAACTTTACCACCAAACCAGAAATTTGTTGGCTATCTACTGTTTTGTGCCCATTTTTGAGGAGCGTTTAGATACACCCCAACAATACATGCCGAAAAGCTTGGGGCTTGTGCAATACGTGCGAATGGCATTAGCCATAACCTTACTTTAATGTTTTTGCGGAGAAACTAAGTAATGCCTAGCTATCGCCTGGTTACAAAAGCAGTTGTGGCTCCATTGGTAAGGCGGTTGTTTCGGGACCGAGGGGTCCTATGTTCGATTTCAACAAATATAGAATTTTTTAAATTTTTCTACAGCTGCCGGTAATTGAAATCGAAACATGCCGCAGGCGTGGTTTGTTTGTGTTTTTTATCTCCGGCGTTATTTTTTTTTGTTTAAATTGAATACGCCAAATACCCGACCCAAAACCGAAAATATGCTTGCGCAATGTTGTTTTGTTGACCTCGATAATCTCATGCCCCAGCACCCATTTTAATAGAGCATTGCTGCATTCCCTCAATGCATTTAGAGCACAAACACAATTCCACACTTGTCTAGAACTCATTGGCATCAAATGCCTACTCTCTGTAAAGATGGCAACAATAGTGTGTCCTGTCCTGCCTTATTATTTCTTCCATATGATAACAGATTGCCGTTATTTCCTCATGGAAAGTGATAATATTCTTGGATAGGCTTACAAGGTATTTCTTGTTTCAACACTTATTTAACATCATTCCAACTCCTGCGCCCTCTAACGTTCTTGAGCCATGTGCATACTAGATGGCCTCAGCCTGAATAAGTACACCATTTTTCCAGTCTTCTTTATCTGGTATAGTTATTTTAAACTAACTATACCTTGTGGCTGTTGCATCTGTTGGTATGCCCCATTTGTTAACAATTAAAATATTAATAATGTAATTCCCCCATAAGAATTACTTTTTTGTCTTCATACAAAGAATGTGATCATAATATTTTTATCATATTGTATATGTATACCTCTCTTTTTCCTTTCTCCACTTCTTTTACGCTTCCTTCCTCTTTCCTTCTTCTCCTTGGGTCTTGGTTCTGCACCATCCTCTCTGTTTTCTTGGCCACTATCAGAGTCTGATACATAAACATCTCTAAAATTATCAAATTAAAATATGAACAGGACTACACCAATATAAAACAATAAAACCCACCTTTTACCCCTTCCACCTTTGGATTTCTTTTCAGATGGCATATCTTGGAATACCAAAGCATTTTTGGTTTTTTCCTTATATTCTTGACGTTGTTGTAACATTTTTTCCTTTGTTACTCTACTTTCTTCTTCACGTCTTTTCTAAAATTATATATAAACTTTTAACTAACTATATGAAATAAAAAGTATTTCAATGAACACTAAAAAAATCTATCTATCAACAAAATTAGCGAAACCGTAAAGGGATTTCAATGTGGTTGACTTAAACTTCAGTTTATCAATGGTGTTCAATTTTTTTGTTAAATTATAAATAGATTCGTAATCATCTCACTGTAATTCAAGTCCTGACACAATGTATCTCCAAAATTATACACAGCATAAAACCAATATATTATTAAATTAATAAAAACTACTAATATAAAATAAACACAGAAAAGTGCCACAAACTTGCAAAAATTTAAATTTGACTAAAGAAAAGTCAATCGAAACTAATTTATTAATGTTAGTGATATTGCAACTTTAATTGGAAAATTATAGAAATCAAACTTTTGACTTACCTGTTCTTCGATTTGTCGCATTTTAAATGCTGTGCGTTCCTCATCTTGTTTTCTTCTAAGTAATCTTTCCTCTTCATCTACTCTACGAGCTCTGGCCACGTGGTACTGTGCCTGTGACAACAAATCCTTACATTGTCTAGCTTCCAAAGCAGCCAGATTAACATCATATCGCATTTTGTCACCAAATTCTGACAGATATGTAAAATACCTAAAAATCTATATTAGCCTCTTACTTGTCAACTCGGATATTTTGATTTACTTTAACGATAATCCAAGTTCATGAACAGCTTGCAGGACAGTTTGTAAGGTTGATTTTTCATCTTTCAGAATTTGTGTGGCTAGTCTTTGCAGAACTAATGCAATATTGTATAACAAAACGGTATCTTGTGGAGCCACTCTTCTTGCCTTTAAAAGAACCATCTTGGATTCTTTTAGCTTTCCAGCTTTATAATAAGCCCTGGCAAGATATTGTAAGACTTCGACATTGTTGTATTTAAAAAATTTTCGAAGACAATTTTCATACTGAAATTATTTGACGGTAAAAAAAATATAGATTAAAAAAAATAAATAACATCAATTACCATTTGAATAGCACTAACAAACTGTCTTTGTTCTACATAAACATGGGCAATATTTAGCCAAACATCGCAAAAATCTGCTGTCGCTTCTCGGACTTGGGCAAATATATCTCTTGCTTCATTTACAGCACCTTTATGGGCTAAAAGGAAATCATAATGTAATATCACTTATTATTAGGAATAAATAGAAACAAATTGTTTTATGATCATGTATTATTAAAAATCTACAACTTGACTGGAATTATTGGTATATATGTACGTCTCTTGATCTAACTCGATATATATCGGGCAGTGGCGGCTCGTCAGGGTAGGCAAGGTAGGCGGCGCCTACCCTAAGATTTTGCCAGAATTTAAGCGATTTATTACATTACATTATTTACTATTAATGTTGCCAATACATAAAAATACTGTTAATACACGGAAGTGTGTTTTAATAATCAATATTATTTTAATATTTGTGGTCTTGTATATTAACATACATATTCACTACCGCTGGCCGCTGATTGTGCCGCTGGCCGCTGCGTTAGAAAACAAAATAATTTTGACCGTTGGAGTGCCTTTGTTCGGCGATTTCTATATCGCCTACTATCAGAGCCGATGCACGACGTACGGCAGTCTTCTGTCCCTGTCTAAAGCTCCGCGCGCACTAAATAGGTATCGGCGAGAGCAAGAGGCGCGACCGACACGACCGGTCGGAAAGTCGATTGTAGCCGCGCACTGGAGTCGCACGATCGGCGGTCGAGAGTACGTCACCAGCATAAATTTGAGCATAGACGAGGAAAAGTTTATTCAAATTTAGTCAAATTCATTCGGCATTTCAAAAAATTATAAAGAATTATTACTATTTATATTTTTATGCAACTTTTTATATTTTTTACTCTATGATGGAAATTAATATTACTTAGATCTTAACCAAAAACACATTAATATATTTAGATCTTAAGAAACCACATAAAATTAATGAAATAGAGTGGAAGATGGGGATAAAATATACTACATGACTCTTAGCTTGACCGATTTTAACAAATTTGGTATAATTCAAAAGGGTTTAATTTGTTCTTTAAAAACAAAGCTAGATATGAAAAATAGTCAAATAAAACTTCTATTTTTAGTTTTTTAATCTAAAGAAGTGTCATTACAAACATTTATATATAGCTTTTATTTTAGGTTTTTAAAATCTTTGTTTTAAGTCAGTAGTAAATAAAACGAAACTTGTGTTTACATTTTGTTTAATGATTGACGTTTCGCCCAATTTTAATTCGGTCTTCTTCAGAATCTATAATATACGTATAAATAATTTTCTACGTTTGTGGTAAGAAAAAATATATATTAAACACATTGTTAGTGATAAAATTGTATTGTATATTATAGATTCTAAAGAAGACCGAATTAAAATTAGTCGAAACGTCAATCATTAAACAACAAGTTTCGTTTTATTCACTACTGACTTAAAAACAAGATTTTAAAAAACTTAAAATAGAATAAAAAGTCAAAGAAAATTGAAAAATAAAAAATATAAATAGTTTTTATAGTACCGTATTATTGAAAAGGAACGGCATCAGCGATGACCATGAAATGAAGGTCGGTGCTATTTTATATGTAAATTTATATAGGAAATGTCATCAATCGTCATTTCCCATCCAACTGGACGTCGTTTTTTTCTATCATACGGTAGATATATGTACAAATATTTTATTCAAACATAAATATTATTTTCTCTATTTGTACCTTTTACGGAGCGATCAACATAATAACATAGGATGACTATTTATCAGCTGTTATTACTAACGTCAAAACAAACCACAAAAATTAAATAATATGATAAGTTTTTTGACGATATTTAAATTCGATTTTCAAAATAATGTGAGATAATCAAAACGAGATGAGAAATAAATGGGTTTAATCGGAAGGTTTTCTAATTCAGTTATTGAATTAGTGTAGTAAACAATATAGGTTACGTGCTTGTAAGAAATTTTTATCAGAAACCGCATATTAAGTATGATATGGTCTCGTACACTTTCGATTAATAATTCATCGGACATGTTTAATGTAAAACCGCTCCACTAAAAACAGTCGCTCGGCGTAGACTATTCGCCCCCTCCCATGCATTCTCTGATTTCGCCTGATGGCGCGAGTAACGCCGATAGCTCGAAGCGCACCAAGCGCACCGATCTGATGCGGTGCGCGGGCTTACATTTATTTCAACGTAAACTGAAAATTACGTGCCGCTTGCTCTCGCCGATACCTATTCAGTGCGCGCGGAGCTTTAATCATCGTGCGGTAACGACGAGACGTAAGTCGGATTTGTATCAAATTAAGGTGGAGCTTAGGCGAAATTTCCGGTCGCCTTCGCATGAAGTCGTGGAGGCTCGGTAGGCTTAGATATTCCAGATATTTCATAAGGAGATATATTACATTTCGTTAAGGGGATATTTCATATGATTCATTATACGTAGCATTTAAAACTTTTATATGAAAATTCAAAAAACGTTTAAAGCAAATTCAAAACATTTTTTCGGGCTTGTCAGAGATTATTAAAAATGATATAACCGGTTGTATTTCAGAACACGCCACAGAAATAAAAGAGTATATATAAAAAAGCGCGTTATTTTATTCGGTGCAAGAAGACGATACAACAGATATTACAGAAAAATCTCTGTGCTATTTCAATTCGATATGTTAATAAAAGCGGTCTATCAAAGTCAAATATTTTTGCGAATTTTATTTCATGAAATATTAGATAACATTGTTATACATTTAGAAATAAGGTTTGCAGATAGGTACTCATCGTATGTCTCAATTATTTTTATTTATCTCTTGCGGATCCGAAATTTAAAGAATCCTATAAAAATTTCCAACGCATTTAACATCTGAATTAACAAATTTGTTATATTAATATTTCTCCAACGCATTTAATAGTGATTTAACAAACAAAAATGTTATTGACCAACATAAATTAATGAATAAATTGCAGGTTAATTAATAATAGATATGATAATTTCGAGCATAAAATAATTTAAGGAGAATAATCCTGGAAATATATTTCCACAGGCTTTCAAATTGTTTGTTTTGTTTGTTACTACACCAATTACAAGTACTTGGGTTGAGAGACATTTTTCATGTTTGAAATGCATTAAAATTTATAGTAGAGATTCCATGAAAAATAAACGTTTATCGCCACTTGCCTTACTTTCAATCTAAAAAGATCTTTTCACAGCTCTTCAACAATCTGATGATTTTACTGATATAATAATAAATAACTTTTCTTTATTAAGAGACTGACTCATCAATAATAAATAACTTTTCTTTATTAAGAGACCGACTCATCAATTTAATATATAAAACATAATTATTCTTTCTCTCAATACTACTAATTTTTAAGTTTGCGTAAATAAATAAAGATAAAATAAAATTCTATGATGTACTCCATAGTGACTCCATAGTAATAGATAAAATAGATTAATAAAAAGAATAAAAACTATACTTGAACATAATGTCAATCATTATGTCATTACGTTGAATGCTGTTATTTTTGCTTTAGTTTTGTCCTAAATATTTTTGAGCTATATTTTTACCCCGAGATAACATATATTTACAAACTGGGCTAGGGTAATTATTATTATGTAATTTTGTAAACGTATTATGTATATTAGGGGGGGGGGGGGGCAAATAGACGCAACTAAAATTTTGTCGCCTACCCAATCACACGGGTCACGAGCCGCCACTGGAAATGAGTGCCCAAATAAGAATGGACGCTGGCTGTATCTCAGAACCTACTTATCGTACAATTTTTGGATAAAATATACATATAAAATAAACCGGATGAGAGAAATTGATGGAAAGTATATTCGCTGGAATTTTCATATTCACAACATGAGGAGACAACTACTTATACAACTGTATGAAGGAAGTATCTCGAATGTTTTAAATACAAAATCATTTAGTGCCTTACCTAAAACAGCACCAATGCCATTAGCAGCCCAAATATTCTTCGGATCAATTTTTAAAACTTGTTTGAACATGGATAACGCTCTTTCTTGATGTCTTTTTTCTCTTTCTTTGTCTTTTGAAGGTTGGTGTGAAGTCTGAAGCCAGACATTTCCAAGAGCTATTAAAGAATATGAATCTTGTGAAGTAGCAGGGTTCTAAAAGGAAATGTTTTATTAGAAAACTAAACTATACAGGTAAAACAACCTTAGGTATACTTTCAATATTCTCTCATATTTCTTTTGACCAGGCCCACATTCTGCTTTAGCTAGATGAAGGTTTCCTAATAACGACCAAGCATCAGGATGTTCAGAGTTAATACCTAAGGCTTCCTTAAACCAATTTGACGCTTCATATATGTGACCTTTATCTCTAGCCATGCATCCCAACCTTAAAAATTAATTGTAAAATTCAAATTACTTTAGTCTCTTTATGTCCTTGGATTTAAGATTTATGAAAAACTATAATAATAATAATAACTCATTTATTCAAGGGTGTCGCCAGTCAAAGGTCTAGGAGGGGCAAGTTAATGGAAGTAGAAGGTAGAAAAAGTATAAATTGTGGGTATAACAAATATAATTTGTAAACAAAATTATTATATCTATTAAAAAATAGAATAACCCCCTCCCCTATGCTAAATAAGTTTAGTAAAACATAGTCTCCAGAGATTATTTTGTAAACTGTCATTGTCGTCCTGTTGGACAGACTATAACTAGCTACAAGTCTCCTCTGGGCATTTAAGATCTTAATGCAGATACAATAAAATATAATTTTATATATTTACCTTAAATAACAATCAACATAGTTTGGATGCTCCTTTAAAATGTCCTTATATAATTTTTCTGATTTATCAAATAAACATAGGGCTTCATTTAGTCTAGCTAAATTATACGTTATGGTAACTGAAATTGAATTGTAATACTGAGGATCATGTTCTGCTTCGACTTTTGCCCTTTGTAAGGCTTCCTCTAAAGTATTCTTAGCTTCTTCCAAGTTATTTGTCCTAAAGTAAAATTAAAAAATATATATTTAGTATATAAACATATCCCTTTTTATTTAGCATCTTTAAGTTTTTTCAATATTTATTACTTGGCACTTTATTATTTTACCTATTTCACGTCCAACTAGATGATGTTATGGTAATTAAACTGTATATTTTATTGCTTAATTTTTTTAATGTAAAATTATTATATAGGGTGTCCCAATATTCTAATTATATAGAATCAAAATAAGTTCACTGGACATAGTTTACCTCTATACATAAGTGCTTCGTTTGTCCGCTAGAGGGCATCAAATATTAACCGTTATTCAGATTTGAATGAGATTTTGGGTATCTATTTTTTGCTAAGTGCTCTAAAATTTTACTTCCACAAAATTCAAGAAAAACTACGGGAAGGGTGAAAACTACCCCACCCCTACATAAATTTTAGTATAAATATTGTGGAAAATATTTATACTAAAATTTATGTAGGGGTGCGGGTAGTTTTTGCCCTTCCCGTACTTTTTCTTGATTTTTGTGATAGTCAAATGTTAAAGCACTTAGCAATACAAAAACACCCAAAATCTCAATGAAATCGGAACAACTGTCTAAATATCTGAAAATATATTTATTTTTTTAAAGTTCGATGCCCTCTAGCGGACTAACGAAGCACTTTTGTATAGAGGTAAATTGTGTCCAATAAACTTATTGATTTCAAAAATACGTAGTAGTTTCATGTTCACGGAATATTGGGACACCTTGTATAAAAATAATCAAAATACAAATATTGACTGCTCTGATAGTACACTTTCTCAAAATGATGATATATCTCCAAATCCCTAACTTAAAATATAAGTATACCTGTAGTGTAAAGCTGCAACATTATTTAAAATTTCTGTTGGTATTTCAGCTTGGACATCTTTCTTCAAGATGTTAATTGCTGTTCCGTAAGCATTTAATGATCCTTGAAGATCTGATTGTTCAAGGATTTGTGCCAACTCAATCCAGGCTTCAATATCGTCGGGGAATTGTTCAGTTACTTTTTTAAGATGGTTTTTTGCAATATCTCTTTTTGACTGAGACGATGAATTTGCATAAAGAGACCCTAGAATTTTCATTGTTTCATAATTCCCTGGTTGAGCTTTTAAAACTTTTTCAAAACACTGAGCTGCCTAAAACAATATTCGTTCCAATTTAGTTATGTTCATTAAGATAGTGACAGAGTGGGGTAAGTTTGTGGATATTGAAAATATAAAAAGCCGGCGTGTCAACTCCAATATGTGCTCCAGATGCAAGGAGAGCAGAAGTTTATCAGCATTGAGATGTGCACATTCAGCTTGAAAAACTTAATGATTTGAAAACATTAAAAGTCGAAACATTAAAAATTCTGAAATACTTTAAATACAAAAAATGTTCATACTCTCCATCTAATAAGATAATATTATACAGGGTGTTCTTTAGAAAACAAATTAACTTATTATACAGCGGGTAGTTAAAAAAAAAAACAAAGAAAAATTATTTTATATTTTAGAAAGTTTGGTGTAGAATTTTCAACAGCCTGTATGATTTAAGATTATGATTTTTATAGCAAAGTAAGTATAGACCATCTAAAGTAAGTACCTAATAACAATTTTGATTTCAGGATAGTTCTTGTACTTGTAAAAAAAATTCAGGAAGGTTGAAAAATACAGGGTGGCGCACCTCATTCGCCTCGGTTGATTATATGAAAACGGAAAGTTGTAGAAACAAGATATTTTGTGGATATATGTGGGGAGGCAATATTCACGATTTAAAATTATTTTGAAATATACAGGGTATTTTAGAACTAAGATCCATACCAAAGTTATAATTTTTCTTATGGAACACCCGGTATTTTATTTGATTTTTGGATTCCTGGACCTCAAAATTTGCCCCCTGGGCATTTATTATAAGGGTTAAATTTGTTTAAAATCTTGGATTTTTGAGATATTTAAAGATATTAAGACAAAAATGAAATAAAATACCGGGTGTTCCATAAGAAAAAATATAACTTTGGTATGGATCTTAGTTCTGAAACACCCCTGTATATTTCAAAATAATTTTAAATTGTGCACATTGCCTCCCCACATATACCCATAAAATATTTTGGTTCTACAACTTTCCCTTTTCGTATAACCGACCCAGGCGAATGAGGTGCGCCATCCTGTATATGTTTTTTATTTATTTAATAATTTCTGAAATTAACGAAATATATTTGCTCATATCTTAGGATCCAGATTAACATACTAAAAGTCCCCATCCTTCCGAGCGTGCAAACCACCCCAAAACTACCCCTAAATGTACAATTTTTTAGTTTTTGCTAAATACCTCCAATACGGTCAATTTTATTAAAAAATTGGTAGTTACCAAAATTATTGCTCATAAAATTCCCTACAAAATGGTGTAGATATACAGGGTGATTCCTGTAAGTGGGTCATGCTTTCGGGGAACGATCGGGAACGTCGAAATATTAATTTTGATATAGCACACTGATAGCTCTCGCCGCAAGATACTGGGTGTTAAAGTTTTGAAAAATTAAATATATTCTTTAATATAGTTCTTTAACAGTTGAAGGTATCGTTATAAAATTTTACTATAGGAGTCTACCTAACAGACATTTTAAACATAAAAAGAAGAGGTTTTAGTTTCAACTAGTGGCGTAGATGTGATACTTACATTGGGTAATTTGTTAAACGATGTACTTAAACAGCCGTTAAACGGTAGCCTACTAAAATGCCGTTAATAGATATTCTGACGTCGTTCATGTCGGCGGAAAGTAATGCCTAGCAATAAGCATTTTGCAACAGCACCTGTGGCTCCGTGGGTGAGGCTATCACTTCGTGAGCGAATGGTCCGTGGTTCAAATCTCACGCCGACCAAGACTTTTTTATATTTTTTTTTGCTTATAGCTTGATCTTATTGCATTGGTTTCACTCTTTTTGGTCGGATTGGTTTAGTTATTTGGCGGGTTGGTTAGCGTGGATATTTGGAGGGTGTTAATTCATTGGTTAGTTAGTTATTTGGTGGGGTTGGTTGGTTTTTACTAATTTATATTTGTTTTTTATATTTTTTTTATCAGTGTCGAGGTTAGTTGCGTTGGTTATTTGGTTGGGTGGATAGCGTTGGTTAGTCCTTATAAAATTTCTATATTTCATAAAGCCGTCAAGTGCGTCACATCAACGACGTCATACCTATTAACGGCATTTTAGTAATCTACCGTTTAACGGCAGTTTAAGTACAGCCTAAAAAAAAGTATGCCACTGATAAGCTTTAAAAAAAATTTAAAGCCAAGGTACCAAAACCTAAATAAAATTTTTATTCAATAACTGATTAATAAAAAAATCCCTTAAAAGCAAATATTTAAATAGAATTTTAAATAAAAATTTCAGGTACTTACATTTTCTGTATCTCCTCTATAGATATACATTTGTCCCAAACCAAAATGTGGCAAAACAAAAGCAATAGGTGCAAACTGAGTTGCTTGATAGTAATACTGAAATGCTTGGTCATAATCTCCTTGTACATGAAATGCTCTAGCAAGCTGATAACAACTTTCAGCTCTCATCGCTTCATTCTCTGTATTATGGAACGCATGCAAAGCTAAATGTTGAACTTTATTATAATCCTTTTTGAAAAAGAAATGATTAGCTAGGTGGTTTAAAACCATAGGATTTGAGGAATCAATTGTGTATGCTTTTGACAACATCTGCACCCCGTTTTTAATGGACTCTGGTTGTTGTAAATTTAACTTTAATATAGCTAAACCAACTAAGGCTCCAACACATTTAGGGTCTAATTGCAAAGCTCTTTCGAATGCAAGCCTAGCTTTGTCTTGGTTACTTAGTTTCATAAAACAATGTCCCATACCTAGCAAAATAAGATAATTTACAATTTTCAATAACATTTAGAAAATATTAAGATATTATTACCTAATCGAACAGCAGCTGGACAGTTAGGATTAGTCCTCAATGCTTTCTTATAAAAAGCTAAAGCGCCACGAAAATCTTTTTTATTGTAGGCAATACAGGCTTTACCAAGCAGAGATGGTATATTATTTGGAGATTGATTAAGAACAAAGTTAAATTGAGCATCAGCTTGTTCCATTTTATCTCCTTCCAAAAGACAAAAATATGCTCGACCCAGTAAATGATTCTAAAAAACAAATTTTTCCAATGGTACCAATATGCATATTTATCAAAACACATACCTGGTCATACATAATAATTTTATCAGCAGTAGTATACAGCAATGTTGCCTTAGTAAAAAGGTCTCTCTTTTTATCTTTGTTTTTCTCTCGATTTGCTTCCTGCACATAGTATGCAGCAAGCATATCAAGGGCACGCATCTGGTCCTTCTCATAGTCACGATACTCAACATTTGCGTCAACTCTGGATACTTGTAATATTTTTATAAAATCTTCAATTTTTCCTTGCTTATAATATTCTAACTAAAAAACACGACAGAAGAGATAAATAATAGGGTATACCGATAATAGTTTAGTCTGTAGACGTAGATCTTTTCATGTATTTAATTTTAAAAATTTACTTACTGCAAGATTAACCCAAATAGAAAGTTGGGTATTCTCTTGTCGTAAAATTCCTAAAACTTCTTCTCCATCGGGAAGTTGATCTGAGTATAATTCGATTACCTAAAATACCAAATAAAACCGATATAGTACATTCAATGAAATTTTTAGTAAACAAATTTAACGTACCTCGTCCGTATCACGGAGAGGAATTTCTATTGAGGCCGCCATTTGTAATATGTTGGTCTTTCCTGTAGATTTAACTTCCCATTCTCATATTTTCAACAAAATAATCAACGAAATAATTGTTGCAAATAATCTAAAAACCAATTATTTGGAAATTAATTTAAACGTTAACCACAAAACAAGCACGCACAAAACAAAAAATGAGTTGACAACTTGACAACAGGTTGACGTTTGACAAGTGTCCATAGATTACTCACAAGATTACTTGTTCAAAAAGTAGTGATCACTTCTTTTATCTATGGTCGTTGTCCCAATGACTAAAGAATACAAGGACACGTAACACGTAACGCCCATGTACGGGCTGCAGCAGAATTTGTGACGTTTGAGGCCATTTTTTTGGTTGTAACCATAGACTTAAAATGAAATATAGACTACACTATTTACATCTCAACGCGGACAAACAACCTTTTTTGTACACATGTTTACTTCTGGGTACAGTCGACCGAGCCTTCCTCATCTAGCCTATGTTGTCACGTCTTTAATATTATCAATATTTTTTTTCTTGTTATACACATATATTGAGATATTAATACTACAGTTTAATAAAGTAGGTTTTAATATTCCAGAGATGTATTAAATAGTCCTTATACTACTAAATTATAAGTCAGATACTGTTTAAAAAGGATAAGTTCTTTACAATATGACAACACCGATTAGAGGCGAGGGAGCCTATTCATTCATTTATTACCTTGTAGCAGAGAATAGGTACATTAAAGAAATGCTAACTTCATGTTAAAAAATGGAAACAAACGCCACCTGGTGTCGCCTGGCAGTACTAGCTAAATTGAGGGGAATTGGAGGGGCGGGGCTTAAAAGAGGGGAAATTTTTAAAAAAATATTTTTATAAGTATCACTGACTTACTGTTTAAAGTTAATAAACATATTTTTTATTACTTTAATATAATTTAATGTATTAAAAAATATGTCTATTAACTTTACACAGCAAATCAATGATATTATTAAAGACTTATTATTTTCAGAGAAAATTCATAGTAAATAAATTACACATTAGTAAACAATATCATTTATTTTTTAGAGCTGCGATTTATATTACAATAATATTGAAATATATATATTTTTTTAAGAATGAAAAAGAATATCCCGGAACCTGAAAAAGAAAGATGATCAATTAATGACTTAAATTAGTTCAAAATACATTTTGCAAATAACTAGTGAATTGGAAAGATAAATAAACATACTATTAAAAAGACATTTTAGTAGTATGTTATCATCTATTTACTGATAATACATTGCATAAGTATATAATAGGTAAATAACATGCATAAGGCACTATGATACAACTACCTGTATCATGATAACACACTAATATGACAAAAAATATATGCTAATTTAAATTCCTTTAATGATCTAATGAAACACTATCTAGCCTCAATGCATGCCATTCCAAAGGCAAAAAACTGTTATACAAATAAATATAAGCTGAATAAAACATAAACCAAGCCAACGTGCATAAAAAACCAAAAAATGCATCAAAAAATACTTTTATCAGATCATACCCTTGGATATATTATGTATTTTATATATCGCACATCCCGTTCAAAAGTTTACTAACTCAAAATAGAGAATATAGAGAACATTGTTAAGAGAAGTAAAAGAAAATTTAAGTTAAGGCAATATGCTCCTTTTTGGATATTAATGGCCAAATAATATAATGTTGATTTAATAAAATTTTACTGGCATCCTTCTGAGGTATAAATCAGATTAAAAGGACATTGTTTTTGTAATAATTGTTTGTTTTGTAAACATTTTTTGAAGACAATACAGTTTTGAACGGGCTGTGCGATATAAACAAGGATCTTACTATTATTTGAGGTTAGAAAGTATTTAAATAACATAAAACATAATCAAAATCATTTGTCATCATAAATTATAGAGGTACTTACGTGTTTTGATATTATTATCAGGAAATAATACGTTTAGTTAAACAGGTACGCTGCCAGGCAAGTTCTATCGGCGGGTCTTTGCAAAAGTTGAAATCTAAAAATACAAAACTACGTTTACATCTTAGTTGTATTTACGAATAAAGTATTTGTGTGTAATTTCTGACTTACCAGTTAATTGAATAATCGCATTAAATACATCCAAATGGTAATTTAATATTGTAAAAAAGCAAAATTGTTTTAAATCACTTGCCAGGACAGCCCGGCCAGCTTCTTTGTTGACAAAATGGCCGCGGTATCATGATTTAAGCAATGTGAGTGACAAAGAAAGCCAATGCCTGGCAGATGTTGCTTTCTTTGTCGTTGGTCCTGGCCAGGGTTCGGAAAACTACATGTTACTTTTAAAAACTACATAAACTACATCACATGTAGTTAATGTAGTTTATGTAGAGGGTGTAGTTTATGTAATCTATGTATGTAACTTTCAAATGTCAAAGGTTTGATGTGAGGTTATAATAAGTTGAAGCTTTAAAAACACATAATATATTTAAGAAAACAGAAGAAATATGACTTTAAATATAATATTTACATCATATTATCTCTATTACATTTCATACAAAGGAAAAATATTCATAATATCAATACATAGTTTATTAACGTAGTTTTCATGTAGTTAATGAACGGGAAAAGACGTAGTTTTTGAAGAAAAACTACACGTAGTTAATCAGGTAAATTACGTCTTAGTTAACTACTTCCGAACCCTGGTCCTGGCACGTCTAAATTTGACTGTTGCCTGTTTTCCCATACAAGTGACACCCCCGTGCCTTGTAGTCAGGGTTCGGAAGTAGTTAATTAAGACGTAATTTACCTGATTAACTACGTGTAGTTTTTCTTCAAAAACTACGACTTTTTCCGTTGATTAACTACATGAAAACTACGTTAATAAACTATGTATTGATATTATGAATAATTTTCATTTGTATGAGGTGTAATAGAGATAATATGATGTAAATATTATATTTAAAGCCATATTTCTTCTGTTTTCTTAAATACATTATGTGTTTTTAAAGCTTCAACTTATTATAACCTCACCTCAATTCTATGATATTTGAAAGTTACATACATACGTTACATAAACTACACCCTCTACATAAACTACATTAACTACATGTAATGTAGTTTATGTAGTTTTTAAAAGTAACATGTAGTTTTCCGAACCCTGCTTGTAGTACGTGTTGCACGTGTGCGGTAAAGCTTTGTTGCCGCTATCTCCCCGGCTGTATTAACGCATTTTCTTAGCTTGTAGTCCTTAAGTGTTTATTTTATTGACTTTTTTTGTTCAAGAACTATAAAATATGGTTCGCCAGTGCCTAATTTGCATGAAATTTGACTTAAATAATCCAATTAAGTCTTGAAACGACTTTCGACCTTTAGGCAACTCTTAATTTACCCATTAGGAGTCAGTGGCGTTGTTGTAGAAAGGCGCTTATTTAGATAATATTTTAGTAAAATGTAAAATCTGAATTTTTTCTCTTACATTACAATATTGACTTACTTACATTGTAACAAAATCATAATTATAACCCTGTTAATAATTAATAACGTTTTTATTAAAAATATATTCCGGTTTATTCTAAAATTATCTTCAGAATCTAAAATAACATACAAGAATTTTAAAATGATATTTCATTATGAAACAATATTTTTTAGGATACCGGGTCGTCTCAAAATTGGCTCACCCCTATAACTTTTTATTTTTTCAGATACAAAAAAAAATGTATGTTAGTAGGTATATGACATAAATTAGGATTTATTGACGTATTCAATTGTTTTTGGTCTCTTCCTGTTTCACCGAAATGATTACATCTTTTGATTTTTAAAGGCACCCTCGGTATATTGCTACTTTATTCGATAAAAAATGACACTCTGAATAGAATGACTATCATATGTCAACTTTTGACATTGTCGCTTAAAAACAAATCGTATTTTAAATTTCAATCTAGGGTGCCATGGTGTTGTTAAAAACACTAAGTTTTAATCAAGGAGCCTTGGAAAAATAGTTTTGATCGTCTAATGGGTTTCGTGTCTTGTTTTGGCCGGTTAAAAGATGTACAAATCGTAGTTTTAATCATACATATGTCAATTTTTTCAAATGGAACAAGGGAGACTCATTAGCATATTTGGAAAAAGCATTTTTTTATGAATATATTGATACCACACACTTGGTATTTCGAGTCAAATTGTCGTTATGTGAACCGCGTGTTACAATTACAATTAAATCATATGCGAAAATGTCAAAAGTTGACATATTATGCTATGTCATTCTATTCAGAAATCAATATTATTATTAAAAATTAAATTGTTATCATTTTCTATCGAATAAAGTAGAAATATACCGAGGGTGCCATTTAAAAATTAAAAGTTATATTCATTTCCGGTGAAACAGGAAGTGACTAAAAACAATTGAATGCGTCAATCAATCCTAATTTATGTAATTTTTTATTTGAAAATATAAAAAAATTATGAGGATGAGTCACTTTTGGAACGCACCCGGTATAATAAAGACAGTACCGAGTTAAATAAATGTAGTTTTCATATTATCCACTTCCTATCACCTTCCTTGCTTTAATGGAACAGATTTATGTTTTCTCTAATTTACATAATAAGACGTCACTTAACCAGAAAAAAAATTACAAAAATCATATTTTTTTTTCTCTCCCTGTCGCCGATTCTATTATATCTGTGAAATAGATCCTGTTTTGATTAATATTAGGGGTTGTAAATGTTTGACTAAAATTAATAATTTATTATTAATTTCAAAAATTACGTAATTTCGATTATAAAATTTCTTCTATAACGTGTTTATTATTAAAACGTTTTTTTCTAAACTTTTATTCAAAAAACCTGTCCTAAATCTTAATAAAATATTTAAATACGATATATTTTTAATTTAATTATAGCTTCATTAAAATAAAAAAGTTACCCGGCTATGATACGGAGAGTTCAGGTGTACTTGAGAAACGAAGGACAGTGTTGTGTTTCTCGGCAGAGTCGTTAGGGAACGACCGTTATGACAGAGACAACCTATCTATCGCTCGTGTCGCACTCGTTATAACCTAAAACAATAACACAACAATAACAAGACGTTGTCTGACCGCATGTTCCAGCTATTTATGAATGAGATGCTCAGTCTATATTTTATTTTAAGTCTATGGTTGTAACGAATGAGTCATCAGCTGGTCACCAGTAAAAATTTTAGCGATTTTTAATAGTTGGTGTGTAGTGAACTTTGTATAAATTTTATTACAATGGTGATTAGTTGTTCAGCTTT